GCCTGGGCCCGGACCACGAGAGCCGCCTGCGCCTGGGCCCGGACCACGAGAGCCGCCTGCGCCTGGGCCCGGACCACGAGAGCCGCCTGCGCCTGGACCACGAGAGCCACCTGGGCCTGGACCACGAGAGCCACCTGGGCCTGGGCCCGGACCACGAGAGCCACCTGCGCCTGGGCCACGAGAGCCACCTGCGCCTGGGCCCGGACCACGAGAGCCACCTGGGCCTGGGCCCAGCACCACATGAGCCACCTGCACCTGGGCCTGGGCCACGAGAGCCACCTGGGCCTGGACCACGAGAGCCACCTGGGCCTGGGCCCGGACCACGAGAGCCGCCTGGGCCTGGACCACATGAGCCGCCTGGGCCTGGGCCTGGACCACGAGAGCCACCTGGGCCTGGGGTGCTGGTGACGTGTCGGTGCCATGATCACCGCTCACCGGTGCCAGACACGCCCAGGGGAGCCCACCTGTGGTTGGAGAAAAATCTGCTTGTGAGTTTGCTGTAAGCCTGCAGCCAGTCTAAAGCATGAGAGCAGAGAACATGGCCCAGTGATAGAGCACTTCCCTAGACGGCTCAAAGCCTGTAGTTTAAAAATACAGCTAAAAATAAAGAAGCAAATAAGTCTGTGTAATAATACGGAAGAGTCGAGGTTCCGCCTCGGAGCCTCCACCCCTGCCGTCTGTCCGCTGTGCTGCTACCACACTTGTCCTTCTCCATCTATCTGCGGCCTACGTACCCGACGCCGGCTTACTCAGCCAGCTCCTCCACAGCCCTCCCCACCCGGGACACATGCGCAGTAGGAAGTCTAAGGTCCCGGCACGGGTGTGGCCCGGTCACCTGGCCGGCAGCCATTTGTGCATCAGCAGCTGGTGTACCACAAAGGTACTTGTAGCCAGAGGGCATCAGGCCCTTCTGACAGGCCTGGGAAGCAGCAGCGCCTCAGCCCCCCACCTGTGGCCTGGAGAGGCCCCCCCGCAGGCCTGTGAGGGGCTGAGGGTCAGGCTGGCTGCAGGTGAGCAGGACTTCCCTGCTGGGCAGGCTGAGCACCTTCCACTGTGGCAGGAGGTGGCGTCGGAGCCGTGGTCAGCCTGCAGCATCACGGCCTGCTGGCGAAGGGCAGCAAGCTCAGAGGGACTCGGTTCTCAGCTGCCAGCCTGAACTTGGGCCTCAGGGCATAGCCCCAGACCCAGCCTCTGTTTCCCCCTGTGGGTGGGAGCCTGCTCGCCCCATCACAGTCTGGGCTCAGGCTGGAGCACGGCGGGGCTGCAGACAGGGTGTCAGTCCCCTCTGGCTGGGCCATGTTCTAGCTTGAATTGACTGGAGGCACCTGTGCACCCAGAGTGGGCCTGGGACCCCGGGGCTGGACGGAGCCTGCCGCTCCGGCCACCTCATCTCTGCCACTGTCCCCACCAGGCGTGGATGACGGTGAGGACATTCCCCGGGAGATGCTGATCGGGATCTACGAGCGGATCCGGAAGCGGGAGCTGAAGACCAATGAGGACCACGTGTCGCAGGTGCAGAAGGTGGAGAAGCTCATTGTGGGCAAGAAGCCGGTACGTGCTGGGCCCAGCATCCCGGGCCGCCCGACGGGGCGGCCCTGCAGCGCTCCGCCGGCCGTGGCTCACAGCTCTGATGCCAGTGGAGGCTGACCTCCCCCAGGGGAGCTGGGGAATGGCCTTGGCCCCGTGGTGTTGGGGAACTGCGGCTGTCTGCCCTGGGCTGTGTGTTAGAGCACAGGGCTCTCAGGGAATGGCCGCTGGACACGTGCCTTTCTTGGTGACCCAGGCCTCCCTTGGTGGGTGGGGCTCTGGGTGCCCCAGAAGAGGGGACGGGCCTCTGCCCTTTGCCTGGGTTTCTTGGAGCCCGGATGCAGCCTTAGAGTAGTAACACCTTCGTGGGTTCTCTGTCTTCCCGCAGATTGGGTCTCTTCATCATGGACTTGGCTGTGTGAGTATTTTCTCTGCTTTGCCACGCCACTCGCCGATTGCCCACCCTGAGGACCCCTGCATGCCCTGCGTCCCTCTGCAGCGTGTCTCCCATCCCTCTGCCTTGTTTGTGGGCAGGTTCATTCAGGGTGATCAGAAGCACTCTGACACACCCCCATACCTCTGCTGGTCCTGAGGCTGTAGCTACATTGGGGGGGGAGGGGGTAGAGGGGAGGGCTGTGAGGCCAGGTCAGAGCCAAGGGGCTGCCTTGCATTCCTGTGCAGACACTTGACCCTGGACCTGGGAGAAAATCCTCCCCATGGCCTCTGCCCGCTCCTCCACACCCTGCTCGCTCTGCTCTGCCCACCTGCCCCTGCCCCGCCCCTCACCGCCACCACCCTGCTCCCTGCCACCACCACCAGGGTTTGCCACAGCCCCTGCCAGTCTCGGATGTGTGCGCACGCACGCACGGTCCTCCCCGCTCTCTGGGGAGCCTCCCTCCACCACTCACCCTTGCTGCCCACAGCCCACCACACCCCTGCCCACCCACCCTTCGTTCCCCACGTGTGCCGGACTGGGCCACACTTCTCCCCTTCAGGCGCCGAGGCGCTGCGCTTGGCAGCCGCAGTCAGGATGCTCGGCCGGTCGTGCGTCCTGCCCGCAAGCGCATGCACCCTGTAGCCCCATGCCTACGTCCTGCATGTGCAGCATGCTCACAGGCTTGGGCCTGGCTTCGGGCCGCGTGGCTGTGGCACAGTTGGGCAATGAGCCTTCACAGAGGCTCCTGTGGGCGCATGGGGACGGCGGCGCCAGCCAAGTCCCCTTCGGCCCCGCGCAGCTTCAGGACACGCTCCTGTGCACCCCGGCGGCGGCGGCGTGCGGGCTCGGTGCCGTGCAGGGCCCTCTCCACCTCCATGAGGGCCGGCGCCCATGGCCCGTTTCCTCTCGCAGGTGCTGTCCCTGCCCCATCGGCGGCTGGTCTGCTACTGCCGGCTCTTCGAGGTTCCAGACCCCAATAAACCCCAGAAACTTGGGCTGCACCAGCGAGAAATCTTCCTCTTCAACGACCTCTTGGTGGTAGGTGATGGCCCAGCGTGGGACGCAGTGTGCTCCGGTGCTGCGTCTGCCATGGATGCACGCGCCGGGGCTGGCGCGGGCTTCCCGGGAGAACCTGAGGCCGTACAGGCTGCTGCACACGCAGGGCTGGGAGAATGTTCCCCGGCTCCCATGAGCACAGAGGGCTTCGCCTCATCCCCGGCCGACCCGCAGCCAGGCTCCTCCTTGGCTGCACTCAGCCGGGTCGGGTGTGGGCTGGGGGGCTGACCCTGGGTGGGCTCCTTGCCAGGCACCTTCCCATCGCAGAGGGAGGCGTGGCCAGGGGAGCAGTGGCATGCCCTCCTTCCTCCAGAATCTCTCAGAATGGGTCTCAGCCCGCAGGTGCCCACAATCATGGAGACCACACAGGCACGGGGCTTTCCGATGGGCTCAGCTTTGGAGCTGGGCAGGGTCCTGTCTACCAGGACCTAAGGGACAAAGCCACCAAAGCCAGGTTTCCAAAAGGAAATGGAGAACTTACCAGGAAGAAGGCACAGGGGTGCCAGCCCAAGGCGGCTGGCACCGCCCACCCCATGGCTGAGAGCACATCCCGCCTTTAGGTTCATGTCCGCGGCGGGCTTGGGCACTCTTAAAGGCCTCCACCCCCACTGCTAAGGTTGGGGTCCAGATAGACATCTTCGAATCTTTCATGAATCCCTTACCTGCGGCGGCTCTTACTTGTACGTGGCAGATCTGGGCAACGTGTGGCTCCTGGCCTTGTACCCATCTGTACAGCCAGGCTGGAAGTTCTGTCTGTGAGCCAGCCTTGGGCCTCGGGAGTGGCTCCTCCCACTGCGCTCTGAGCCGCCCAGCCTCCCGCCAGGCCCCGGGCTCCGAAGCGCACTGCCCTGCAGCCATCTTGGCTGTGTCACGGGACAGTGGTGCCTCCCCGGCTGGCATCGCAGGAACTGACTCATGGCGCGGCGTGGAAGGGCATCCCTTCCATGGCCCTCAGCCGTGTCTCTGTTCCCCAAGGTCACCAAGATCTTCCAGAAGAAGAAAAACTCAGTGACATACAGCTTCCGGCAATCCTTCTCTCTGTGTGGTATGCAGGTCCTGCTCTTCGAGAACCAGTGTAAGTGCCCTGGCCTGCAGCAGTGTCTGCCGGCCACCTGTGTGTGAGGGCTGGGGGCCAAGAGGACCCACAGCACAGCCTGGGGAATGCAGCTGCCCCAGACAGGAGGCAGAAACGTCCGAGAAGGGCGGGAAGTACCGTAGGCCTGGCAGCGAAGGCTCTGGGCGCCGTGGGCTGTGCCCCAGCTGCTGGGGTCTGACTTCAGCTCAGGGCCATCCTGCTACAAGGCTTGTTTCTGATCCCCAGCCTCTTCTTGGGGTGTATCGCTGCTCCCCATGTTGGGGGGTGGGGACCCCTCTACATGAATGTGCAGGCCGGCTCTCTGCATACACCGTGAATGTGGTGGAGACTGGTTCTCAAGCCCCCAGAGAGTTGTACCTGCAGAGGGGACTTGGGGCTGCAGGAAGCCAGCTCCCTCCTCCAGCTGCCTCCCTGTCAGCGGCCCTTCCCCAGCCCCACCCACTTTCCCTCACTTCTGTCCCTTGTCGGTGCTATAGCCTGAGCCCTGGGTCCAGTGCGGCCCTGAGCTCAAGGCTGCGGCTCTGCCTCAGCTCTGCTTCTGGCCTTTTGGAGCTAAGAGGCTCACAGACTTTCCTGCCCGGCTGGTTTCAAACCACAGTCCTTAGATCTCCGCTTTCTAAGTAGCTAGGATTACAGGCGTGAGCCACCAGCGCCCGGCTCTTCCAACTGCTTTTGTCCCATCCGAAGTCCCTGAGCTGGGAGCCCGTTGTCCTGGGGTAGGGGCCAGGCAAGCTTCCTGATTGGTAGAGACTGAGGAGAAGGTGCTGACAGGGTGTGTGTGTCAGGCGGTGGGTGCTTCTCCATCTTGGGTCTCCATCTGTCAGCCTTCCATCCGTGGATTCAGAGGTGGGACCGCAGCAAGCTCACCTCTGAGGATCCCCGTGCCTCCTCCTGCCCTCCCCGCAGTGCAAAGGTGGCCTTGCTGCTCGCCTCCTGGCACGCCTAGAGCAGCCTGGCCAGGGCGGGCCGTGAGCCCTGCGGCCCTACATCCTCGCACCTGGGGGCCTGCGCCCTGGGCTCAGTCTACTCTGAGCGTGCTGCTCGTGCCCTGAACATTCGCAGAGATTTGTGGAGTCGATATTTACATCTTCATGTCAAAATGTAGACATTGTGGTCTCTGTTCCTCAGTGGCCTGTCCACACTCCATTCCCGAGGCCTGCACCGCCCTCTGCCTGGTCTGGGCACAGTGTTAGCGCTGAGAACCTTAAACTAGGAGCCACGCTGGGGAGACTGGAGCCCAGAGTCCAGAGACTCCAAAACACGCCCGTGGCAGCAGGGGCTGGAGCTGCATATCGCTGGGGTTGGGTCCGAGGCTCACCGCACAGCCCGTCGGGAGGACAGCCCAAGGGGACAGGCTGCCACCCCCATCCCAGAGCCACCTGCCCCCCTGTGGGGCTGGGCATCTGGCAGTGGCCAGGGGTATTTCCACCACCTTCAGTGCCGGGAGCCAGTGAGGCCCTGTGCAATCCTGACACGGTGTGGCCGTGGTGGGGTGGGAGGAGGCCATTCTGCTCCCCCCCCAGCCTCTGGCAGCGCACACATCTTGCTCATTTTTGGGCGTGGTGGGCTCCGGCAGAGCCCACTGAACCCAGGCCCTCCGGCTCCTCCACCTGCAGACTACCCTCACGGCATCCGCCTCACGTCCGCTGTCCCCGGGGCAGACGTCAAGGTGTTGATAAACTTCAACGCACCCAATCCTCAGGACCGGAAGAAGTTCACTGATGACCTCCGGGAGTCGGTGGCGGAAGTGCAGGAGATGGAGAAACACCGGATAGAGGGTGAGTCCTGGCGGAGTGCGGGGAGGGCAGAGGGGAGCCCCGGATAGAGGGGGTCCTGGCGGAGTGCGGGAGGGGAGGAGCCCCGGATAGAGGGGGTCCTGGCGGAGTGCGGGAGGGAGGAGCCCTGGATAGAGGGGGTCCTGGCGGAGTGCGGGAGGGAGGAGCCCCGGATAGAGGGGGTCCTGGCGGAGTGCGGGAGGGAGGAGCCCCGGATAGAGGGGGTCCTGGCGGAGTGCGGGAGGGAGGAGCCCCGGATAGAGGCCTGGGCCGTGGCGTGGCCGTGGCAGGCAATGCTGGGCTGCCTGAGGTCTCGCGTCTGTCTCTGGTCCCCACATCCCTGTCCTGTGACAGCCCCGAGCCTCTAGGCCTGTGGTCCCGATCCTTCCCTCTCTGGGAGCACGCCACCCATCCTAGGAAACCCTGGCCCCGGGCTGAGCGCCTCTCGTGATGTTACCCGGCGCTCCTGCCAGGTCCGGTGTCAGCAGGTCACAGGCGGGACGGCCCTTCGGCTCCTATCTCACTGCAGCCACATGGGGTCACCCTCTGCCCTCTGGACAGTGGCTGCAGAGCCTCCCCCGTCGGAGCGGCTTGGCCGGCTCTGCCCGTCCACTAGCAAGGAGAAGGTGCTGCCATCTTTGCGGTGGACTAAAGGCATCAGGGCGTCTGATGTGCCCCTCGCCACACCCCTCTCCCGGCAGCGGGCGGAGCTGCCCCAGCCTGTGGCCTCACCTCCTCCCCCTCCGTCCCCCATTGCAGCGGAGCTGGAAAAGCAGAAGGGTGTCGTCCGGCCCAGCATGTCCCAGTGCTCCAGTCTGAAGAAGGAGCCGGGCTCCGGGACGCTGAGCCGGGCCTGCCTGGACGACAGCTACGCCAGCGGCGAGGGCCTCAAGCGCAGCGCCCTCAGCAGCTCCCTGCGCGACCTCTCGGACGCAGGTAAGAGCCGCCGGCCCGCGCACGCAGGCGCGCAAGCTCCAGCTTTCCCCCACAGACAGGGCAACCCAGGAAGGTAGGCAGAGGCCTGGTCTTGGGGTACGGGCGGCGTGCTGCAGCCGGGAAGGCCCGCGTTGCTTTCTCTTTACGCTTCACTGACCTGTGCACGCCACTCGAGGCCTGGTCGGCCCATCCACGTTCTCTGTGCCGCTGCGTCCTGGTGTTTTTTTGCTGATGAATGAAATTGCTGAAGCCCTCAGCGTTGCCTGGGGACCCCCTGTCCTGGTCTTGCTTCCCTTCAGGACCTCTTTCCTGGGAACCCCAGGCTTCTATCCAGCGCTCAGGCTGTGGCCCCCGTGAGTGTGGCTGGTTCTAGGGTGCCGGATAGCCAGTGCACTGTGGCTGTGGTGCTGTCTCCTTGTCCATGTGTCTTAAGTTGCTGCCAGTCATTTAATGCCAGCAAGCAGCAGCCCTTGGGCCTCCCGGGAGCCCGGGAGCGAGGGGATGTGAAGCCTCTCCAGCCTCGGGGAGCAGCAGCACTGTCAGGGCAGCGCTGGGGGCGAGGCTTCGGCAGCTCGCCGCGGCGCGGTTCCCGGGGCAGCAGGCGCGCGCCTGCAGCTGGGGTGGCCCTTGTTTGTCTAGAGGACCCCATGGCCGAGACCGGCCCGGCAAAGCCTGCCCCTCACCGCACCCCGCCCCACCCCATGCAACACTGCCTCATGTGGCTTGCTCATTCCTCAGACTCCTTTTTGTTTCCTTGTGTAGTTTTTTTTTCTTTGCTTTTGTCATCTTTTTCCATAGTAAAATGTAAAATCCATCACCAGCATGAAGGTTTAAGCCAGAGCTTCTCAACCTGGACACGGGGCCACACAATTCCTTTCTGCAGGAGCTGTGCTGGCCTCTGCCCCCCACCCCCGCCCCCAGGCCACGACGCCTGTCTGGTCCCCGCATCTAACAATGCTGGGTACTCCTGTGAGCACCTCGGCCCTGGTTGAGAACCACTGGTTTCCCAGTGGCTGTTCAGCCCAGCCACCCGTCACCAGCTGCCAGGGCCTCTGCAGGCTGTGGGCCAGGGACTGTTTGAGTTTGTGCAGTGTGGCAGGCCCAGCACACCCCACCCACAGGTCCCTCAGGTAGCGGTGCCTGAGCCTGAGCCTGAGGCCTTGGGGCCAGGTGCCCACCAGACCCGGCTCTGAGGCCCCGTAGAGTTCCATGGGGCAGTGCTCTCTGGGCCTGCAATAAGAAACAACCAGCAGAGCCTTCCAAAAGCTACGAGTGAAGGGGCGTGATGTCTGATCCCAGGCCACCACAGAAGGCCAGCAGCCTACCCAGAAGATGCCAGCAGGGCGGCAGGAGAAGAGGAATGTGTGCACGGGCACCTGGGCCTGCCCCGCTGAAGGCGGTCACGTGCCAAGCCTGAGGTGGCTCTCATAAGGGACAGCCAGGGCCGGCCTGTTGCCACTGCAGACCTGTGAGCAGTCGCCTGACGTCCGTGTCACCTGCCTAGGAGACAGCCGGCCACAGACACCTGGGACGCTGGCAGTGGCCGCAGTCTGAGGGCCCGGGAGCCGGCCCTTCTGCAGATACACCACGCCCGGGCGGTCAGGCCTGGCCCAGCCCCAGCTCCTCTCCGAGATGGGCACTGCAGAGGCCTGAGCGGATGGCACCTTGTCCCCAGGGAGCGCACACTCCCCGGAACCCCAGGGTCCCCTGCTGCCCATGCGCAGACCACAGGAACTGCGTGCCGCTCTGCCTGCTGTTCTTAGCTGTTGGACCTGGCCATGGTACACCATGAGCCTCAGTTTTCCCAGCTGCACTAAGGAGGTGGGAAAAGCTTAGAACTGCCTGGTGTCATCCGCCCGCTGCGGGCAAGGGGGGAGGAGAGCCTGCGGTGGAGGCAGCCAGGGCGGGCGAGCCGGGGCCGCCGCAGCCGAGCTGCTCTAGATGAGCACCACCAAGGCTCCGGACAGCGGGCAGCACCAGAGGACGCGGGATTCGTCGTGAGTGGCCTGAGCCCTGTCCACACCGAGCAGAGACAGCCTGTGCCACGGCTGTCTGCTGACCCCGCGGGCCAGGACAGACCCGGGGAGGCCTGTGAGCATGGTGCCCAGGACAGGTGGAAGGCACCAGAGCAGTGCGCCTGGCTGAGGAGTGGACGAGAGCAAGCTGCAGGCCCCGGCCCGGCCTGTGAGCGGGAAGCAGCTCTCAGCCACAGGCCACACTGGCAGCCGCAGTTAGGGCCCTGGCATCGGGCCCGCTACCTGCCCCGGCCCGGATGGCAGCCGGGGTCCCCCTTAGCCTGGAAGGCCCCCAGGCCAGTGTTGCTGACACCGCAGACTCTGGGCGTGTCCCTGTGGCACCAGCCCTCAGTGCCGTCTTGAGCACTCACCGGAGCAGGGGAGGAGCAGGGGAGACCGGAGCATCCGTGGTATACACTGGAAGCCAGTCGAGCCTGAGCAGCCGCCGGCGCGTGGAGCACGCCAGAGCCCCAGCTGCTGGGAAGAGCTGGGGAGCACCGTGAGGTAAAGGTACCGAGACTACGCAAGGCCGGGTGTGGCGGCACACATCTGGAAGACAGGTCCGGAGGGCTGTGGCTCCAGGCTGGCCCGCCATTCACAAGATCACCTCCCTCGGTAAAAGCGGACATGGTGGCGTGTTCCCAGCCGTATGGGAGGATTGCTGTCCAGGTCACCCAAGCAGGAATGTGAGAGTCCAGTCAGTAGCCGCTAGAGCCGGGCACCGGTGGCTCTCCCAATCCTAGCTACTCAGGAAACGGAGCTCTGAGAATTGATCTTCAGAGCTAGCCCAGGCAGACAAACCGGGGAGACTGTTATCTCCTACTAACCAGCAAAATGCTAGAAACGGGGCCATGACGCAAGTGGTAGAGTGCCAGCTTGAGTGAAAAAGCTAAGCAAGAGCTCAAGGCCCTGAGACCAAGCCCCGTTACTAGCACACGCACGCACGCGCGCACGCGCACACAACAACGACAACAGTGAAAATAGCTGGGGACGTGGCTCCTGCAGACAGAGGAGGCCTGCGCTGAGATCAAGCCCTTGCTCCCAGGGAGGTGCAGCAGAGCCGGACAGGCCCGGCCCCGCACAGCACCGAGGGAAGGGGCCCTCCCGCCCAAGCAAGGGCCGGCCTCCCTGGGTGTCCACAGCTTCAGCAGACACCCCTGCACTGCCCCGTGCTGGGGCCTTCTATTACCCAACTTGTCTGGCTTGGGCCAGACAACCGGGTGAAGGGACTCAATGTCCTCTGTATGCTCTAGCAAGACTCAAGGAACCAGACGCTATTTCCAACCACCTGGCCTGCTTTGGAGGTGCAGCCCCGGGCCAGTGAACACACAGCAGCCTCTTTGCCATCTGGGCTGTCCAACCTAGAAAGAACACAAACAAGTTGGCTGTGCGTCGCATGCTCCACCCTGCTGTCCGGGTGAGCGTGCTGTATGGGTGGGCGCTCATGCGGGATCCAGAAGGGAACCACGCTGCAGGCTGAAGCAGCCCCGGGGCCTGAAGCTCTGCAGAAAGCCGAGGAGAAGCCCTCGCCAGGGACTGCAGGCCAGAGTGGGCCTCGGGTCTTGAGCCAGCTGGCTGGGCCAGCATTCTGGGAGGATGATCTGCTCCCAACCAGGGCACTGCACAAACTAAAACTCAGCCCAGAGACAGGAGACGGGCCGCCAGTCTCCTCTCCTCCTGCCCACTACCTGCTGTTTCCCAAAGGCAGTGGGGATATATATATGTGAGCATGAGCGTGGACATGACACGTACATATATATATATGTGTGTGTGTGCGCGCGCGTGTGTATGCACACGCGCATGTGTGTGTGTGAGCTCCCGTGGCGCAAGGCCTGGGAGCAGTGGTGGGTGTTTGTGCTCCTGCAAAAACTGCCCCAGCCCAGCCTGCCAGCAGCCGAGCCAGCCTGCACCCTGCCCCGCGCCGGGCGAGAGCAGACAGGAGTGGGGTGGTGGGGCCGTGCGCAGACCTCAGCCCCCAGGCCCCCCTGCAGAGCACCGTGAGGAGGAGGAGGAGGAGGAGGTCGGGGCTGGGATGAGACATTTTTTCCCCTCCGCCCAGTGCCTGCTCCCTACGGCCCCCGCTGCCAGCTCCCCCAGCCCCGCCCCCGCCTGGCAACGGCCGGCAGGCGGCTGCGGCGGCAGGCAGGCCGGAGGCGGCGGCGGCCTGCGTGTCTAACCTCTGGTATTGCATGTTCTGGGCAGGGAAGCGAGGGCGTCGGAGCAGTGCGGGATCGCTAGAGAGCAATGTGGAAGTAAGTAGGAGGCCCTCGTCGCTGGCTGTCCTGTCGCCGTCCCTGGTTATATCTGTGGCCTTTTTGTTTTCTATTGTGTTGCTCTTCCTTCCCCTTCCCCAGAGACTCAGCCTCGGCCCTCCCGCCCTGCCTGCTGCCCATGCATGCGGCTTCTCCTCTAGAAGCATCCGCGCCTCTCACCGCTTCACCCCTGCCCAGCGGCGGGGCTGCTCTGGATTGTGCGTTCATTTCCACCGAGCCTAGCCCCCGGCCCCGAGCATGGTTAACCGCCCTGGCTTCCGCCCCCGCTCCGGGCCCGCCCCTCGCCCCCCCTCACTGCCGGACGTGCTGCTCCCTCGGCTTCCCCGCGCTCTGCCCTCCCATGGCTTCCTCCCGAGTTCGCTGGCTGTGTCTGCAGTCAGGACACCATGGGATTGCCCAGCTAGGGTGCGGGAGGAGCGTGCCAGAGGAAGTCAGGGCGGGTCTCATGAGATTTCATTCATCCTCCATCTCTCCAGCGCCGTCCACGCCGCCGCCTCGGCCGGCAGATCTTCCTCCGATTCCCCTTCTTGCCTGGTTCGCAGTAGGGAGCGGGGCCTGGCCCAGGACGGGCTCCAAGGCCACAGGGTCCTGTCGCCTCCTCCTGCGGACCCCTGCCGGGCAGGGCCAAAGCTCTGAACCAGTTGAGAAGGGCCTGAGAGCTTAGGGCTCAGCTTTACACCTATCACGCATCGCCCTCCTAGCGCACAGACACCCCACCCCACTGTGTCCCGAGACCACAGGCCCCAGAGCCCGGCTCCTCCACAGTCAGGAGGCCGGCCCCGCGCCTGCCCCCTCCGGCCAGGCAGTGGACGGAGGGCTTAGCACAGTGGGTGACTTCAACATGGAAAAAGACGGTTCTGACCTGCGCTCTGAGATCTTTTAATTTTGATTTCTATGAATTTCCTTTTTAGGGGTCCATCATTAGCAGTCCTCACATGCGCCGGAGAGCGACATCAACACGAGAGTGTCCATCTCGCCCCCCCCAGGCCATGCCCAACTCGTCCTCCCTCCTGGGCTCCCTGTTCGGGAGTAGGAGAGGGAAGCCCCCTCCGCAGGGCCCCCCGCCACCCCCCCACCCCGCACACTCGGCCAGCCACCTCCCCGGGCCCACAGAGGGCCTGCCTCAGGCCCCGGCACACGGGCACCACGCCCAGTACTGCCACATGCAGAACCCACCTCCCTACCACCACCACCACCACTACCACCCGCCCGCCCACCTGCAGCACGCCCACCAGCATCACCACGGGCCCCACGGCGGCCACTACGGGGCCCACGCCCACGGCCACCCCCCGCTGCCCCCCACCCACGCC